AAAAAAAAATAAAGTTCTTCTTACAACAAAAAAAAAAAGCCCCACAAAAAAAAATGTCTCTTTGGCTTACATCAGGCATAAACATCCTTAATCATATTAAGAGAAATGCTTCCAATTGTCAGAATCCTGCAGGTTTCTAGCAAGTTCTTGAAAATGCAGTTTGTATTTGTCAAATTTTGGTAGATGTGCTTCACTGAGTATTAGAGAATGAAGGCTGCTAGTTTTTGATACTGTCATGATGGGAACAGGGGAACTCTGTACTCATTGGTAGTTTCAGATGCTTTGATGAACAGTTTTAGCTCTGGTCAAAGTTGTTAAAATAGAAATGGTTAAACACTTGTGTGTAATAATCACTCCATGATTCCTATTATTATTAATATTTTACAGATGAGTAAACCACACACATTATAGGCTATTTAGTAAATGCCTTTAAACTCCTGAAAAGATGAGTCAGACAACCAAAAAAAAAAAAAACCACACCAAAAAACAATGATTTGAAAAATGTCTTAGCTTCCGTCATATCAAAAAGTTTCCACATCAACTCTTCTATTTGAGTCTCAAAATAAATAGGAGATGAGTAAATTAAGGCACAGAATGGGTATGTGACTAGCCAAATATTACACTAACCAGAAGTTCAATGTAATAGACAGGATAATAAATAAGAGGAGGTGGTATGAATATTACCTAAAGAACCCATGAGAATCACCTAAATTGATTAAAGTGAATGTAAAGTCAAAATATAAAAATAAGTAGATTTCTTACATAGCACCAGTAAGGTGTAATGGAAAAAGGATTACATATAATAAAATCCTTAAGAAACCAACAATAAACTTAACAAGAAAGGTATAAGAACAGAGATAAAGAAAATAAAACTTTATTGAAGGATATATAATAAGATATGAGTAATGGAAAGACATGTGGTATTTTTCTATTGAAAGATTAAATATTAAAGGAACTTGAGCTGATTCTAAAGTTTACATGAAAGAGGAAATCATAGTTAAGAGCCAAACTTTTCAGAAAAATGAATTATGGAGTATTTGTCTCAAAAGATACTGCAATAACATAATAATTTAAATAATGTGGTATTGACTCCCAAATAAACTAATGATTGGGAGAAGAAAAGCAAGAGAAGAAAAGCAGACCAAGGGATATTTGAGAGTTTAGTTTATGGTAAGGGTAGCATTTCAGAAAAGTGGGAAATTGGCTGCTTGTTTATTAAACGGTGTTGAGATAATTGGCTGTCTTAATTTGAGCAAAAAAAAAAAAATCAGTCCTTTACAATTACTATCATAGTAAAAATGTATGCTTTGAAGAATTAAGGGTGAAAATAAAGCTATAAAAATATTACAAGAAAGATATGGAAGAATATTGTTTTACACTTTAGGGAGGGAAGGCATTTCTAACAAAACAAAACCTAGAACTATATAGAAAAAGACTGACAGATATGACTACATGACAATTAATATTAAAAGATAAATGAAAGGGAATATATTTGTAACATATTTTGCAGCACATTTAATAAAATACAACATATAAAATACATAAGGAGTTATTGCAAATCAACAGGAAAAAGACTGCAACCTAATAGAAAAACATGTACAGTGCATATGACTAGGCAACTTCAAGAGAAAAAGACACAAATTACTAGCTGCAGCCAGGAAAATGTAAATAGAAAAAAAATAAAATACACTATTTTATTGATCAAATTATGAAACATTAAAACATCTGAAGTATTGGTGATAAAAATGTAAATTTGGAGAAACCTCTTGGGAAGGTAGTTTGGGAATGTGTCAAAATTTAAAAAGTGAATATTTTTTATAGAGAAAATCAAAGTAGAAGAATACATTAAAGGCAATACTCTTTGAATAAATTAACTTACGTTTATTAAAAGTCATCACATTATTTAATGGTTTTGAATGCATAATTCAAAGAGAGAAAAATATTACTAATTCAAACAAAAGGAAGCAAAGAAGACCTGGAGTAGTTAGATGGCAGTAAGGGATGGAATACTGAACATGAGCAGGAGGCGAACCGTCCTCCAACAGATGAATCATGCAATGTTCTCCCGCAGGCCTTGGAGAAAAGTCTGGCATTTGTGTGACATTTACATGGAGAGTGGGAAACACACATTCATTTTGTAAATAAGCTTATGAAACAGTGAAAAGACTAAATTGGAAAATCTCTTAAGTAGTTTGCATCTCTCATGCTGTGATTTTCTGAATGGGCCCCAATACATTGGCAACATAAATTTGCTTTTACAGGTTCAGAAGTATCACACTATCCTTGTTTCCAACATCATGTAAAGTTCTTGCAAAAGATGAAATATTATTAGACATTATGGAGATTTATCACAGTGGTTAGAAAAATCATCTCTAGATAAGCACCTGGAGTCCAAGCATATAAAGAAAACCCATTTTTGAGTAAACCTAATTTTCAAAGTAATTTGTCAGCCATGACAGCGGAGTTTTATACAGATGTTAAATCCTGATTTTAAGTGCAAGGCATATAAACTTTCCTACTTAGGTTAAGAGTTATAATCTGATATTTTTAAACTTCATTTCATATTTTATTTCCATTTTAAGTTTTTTCCTCTTTCCTTTTTCGTGTCCAGAAACCACTAAGCCATGTAAGTACTGTGGAATGCTTACAATTCTCCACATCCCAAGGAGCTAGATTATTTTCAATGGAACTATTGCTTTTTCTGTAAAATTAATCAAGGAACGAAGCTTTAAGGACATGGATACATTTCTTTTCCATCCACAGTGAACTTCGTTCTGGAAACCAGTCAGATACTCACCACAGCACCTCTGGTTCCCCTGGCGCCCTTAGGACCACTTTCCCCCGTCTGTCCAGGAGCGCCTCTGCTGCCAGTTTCTCCTGTGGGCCCTATCTGTCCTTTATCACCCTATGGATGTCATTAATAAGAGAAAAAGGGAAGGGAAAACAAATTTATACTGGGAATAATTAACTATGTCATATACCTGGACGACTCCAGATAATATTCTGTAAGCGAAATGCTAAGAACAGTAACTTTGCTTTAATTTAATAGTACTACAGACCACCACTGATGATAATAACATAACATACCGTCACCAAATAGGTTATCTTAAAAATATAATTAAAAGTCATTTTGGAAAAAGAATTTATAAAGTTATTTGGCCAAACATGCAGAGGAGATCTGAGTTACAAATAACCAAGTTTTTTATTTTATTTTGAAATGTGTGTATGTATGCATATCTGTATGAATGTATGCATGCATGCATATATTGATTATAATCATGAGAAAATATAGGCCCTATTGGGAAGCCTGTTTCTACAGAGAACTTCAATGCCACAAAGATCTGTTTAATGCAAAAAGGCTTCAGTGCGCAGTTCTGTACAGTGTGTTCAGGATCATCACTCACTGGTTTGGAGTTTGCCTTTAAAAATCTGTAACATTTTCATATCATTTTACATCCTTCTAAAAACCAGTCATCTTCTGTTTTCCATTAGGCTGACTGATCATTCTCTAGCACCAAAACATAGCTGCTCTTAGACAACATTAAGTGATATAATTCATTTTCTGAACGTGGGAACCACCCTGTTCTATTCAAGTACACACAAAGAAAAACTAAATTGTGATCATAGTCAGTGAGAACATTTTTAGCATTCATAATAATTTACAGACTTTCCCAAGGGTGCAGGTTATTCTAAGGGCCTGCACTGTCCCATTTCTAATGTTGATTTTAGGCATAAAGTTATGTATGCTGAAAAGAGACTTTAATATTCGTGAGAAAGAATGGCAATTAAAATTCACTTTATTCATTTTTCTTAACCTTTTATTACCCTTATACTGTTCCCAAATTATGAGAAAGATGTACTGGGTGTATATTAGCAGAAATTATAGGATTGGGATTTGGGAACTAGAATATGATGTGATTTGAAGTTAAATATAGTAAAAGTATTCAGGTTTAGAAGTATCACGCAACCCTTGTTTCCAAAAGTTCATGCAAAAAATGAAATATTATTAGACATTATGGATTTTAGTACAATGATGTAGTATAGAGCTGATGTAGTACAATGGAAAAATCATTTCCATGTCTCACCAATACTTGAATAAATTACTGACCCCACATAGAGATGAACTTTTAATTATGATGTACTAAAATTTTAAAAATATGTAATTTTTTAAATAAAATATGAAGGGAGCAAATAAAACATTTTTCATTTGTGTTTCTTAGTTAATATATATAAAAATATAAAACCAATTATTAACCTTTTCAATTAAAGAAACACATTAATAATCTAGAAATAATTCTAATCATATTTCTTTTTCCAAAACATTTTACTGACATAGTTACTAAATAGCCCAAATGGTATATTATTTTCCTTTTCTCTCTTTTCTGGCTTATGGATCTACTAAAGAATTTTTGGCAAGCAGAAGGAAAGGCAAATACCTTTCTAGAAACTACAAAGTGGAAAATTTGCCTTCATATAATTAAGAGGAATTAGTACTCCTAAGAGGAATTAAGTATGAATTTATACAAATGTCCTTTTTAAAGGTAAATTTATATCTTTATTACTTTATATATCATGCAAATAAAACCACAGCATTCTATGGGGCTCTGAGAACATCAGAGGAAAGAAAACCAGCATAAAATGACGTAAAAAAATTTACCTTTTTTCCCGAATGACCTCTCTGTCCTGGAATTCCCACAAGTCCTTCAGGTCCCTGAATATTCAATATATAAAAAAAGTAAGGAATTGTTACAGAAAATACTAGATAGGATGTTTAAATACTTATATTACATAATTATTGAATTGAAGATTAAGTAAAGATGAGAGTTACTTTTCCACAATATTATGTTTGGCTAATCATCTAAAAAGAGGTCATGATGACTTAGAGGCACAGCTGTTACTAGTGAGTAAAATTCACATATACAGACTGGCCAAGATAGACAAAATTAAACAGTTATTTATTTATTAGAGGAAGAAAATTACTTGGTTTCAGCATACACATTTTGATTAGCAAGAATATAATTAAAGTAAATCCAAAGGCATCATTTCAGCATCTCTATGAGGTAATGTGGGTTCAACATCTTATTGAATGCATAGGGTTACAAAATATATCTAATCATGGTCAAGGAGAACTCAACATTTCATTGGAGTAGAGGATTAAAGAGAAATTATTTGATCTGTGGGATGAAAAGGGAGGGAAATACATGGAAGGAAAGGAGGTAGTCATAGTAAACTGTTTAAAACAATATTTCATTTCATTCTACTTTGTTTAGACAAAGTAGACTAAAAGTTCAATATACACTGTTATGTTTAGTAGAAAGTAAATAAAATATTTTAGATGTCATGTGCATTTGCAGGTCAACAATGAGATCCACAGTAAGCCAGGTTGCAAGTCCTAAAATGGCTAATAATTAATCACAGTATTCTTTGTATCAGTTGGAAATGAAAATGGAAATCTCAAACTTGTGTCCCAAAGCTTGGCAAACTGTGAAAATGATGTAGACAAGAAATAAATTGTGGTTTACCACTGTGCTATGTAGGCTCTTGATAAATATTTGTTGAACGAATAAACAGATACCTAAGGAAATGACTCATGCCCTGTGCTCCCGAACAAACGCTCTTCTAGTCTCAGAAAGTCACTCATTTTAGAGGCCAAAGTGGTTAAGTTCTATTGCTGTAGTTCTAGCTGCATCCAGAGGTTGAAATTATAGTTGCACTAACCTGAGACTTCTTTGTGGCTAGTACAAACTTTTAAAATGAGGCTGATTAACTGTCACAAAGGTCAATGGTGTGAGCTTTTAAAAGTCAGGCTGCTGCAGTTTCATATCTGGCTCTGTCACCATAGGTAGATTATTTAACTTCTAAAGGCCTCAGTTTCCTGTTACATAAAAGGGGTGTAATACTAATTGTTCAAAGGGTAACTAAGATTAAGTGAGATGATGCATTTGAATCTTAGAAAGGACCAGACATACTGAAGAGCTCAACAATGGAGCTACTCAGAACCTTTTGCACGTCTGGGTGAGAAAAGAGGTTGTATTCTATACTGCATTTTTTCCTCTTATTATTAAGAGAAAGGTCTCCCCTGGTTCTTTTGTTCACTTTTTTCCCCTTTTAAAGATAGGCTTTCTTTCTTTTCTTTTTTGGAGGGATTATTAAACTTCCACTGATATTAGTTGGTTCATTTTAGTGCCTGTTCTGAAATACATAAGTAATATTTTGCTATAAAATGTTGCCTTTTAAAAGTGAGCATGACTACAACCATTTTGTGTATTTAGAGGTTTGCAGAGCAGACTGGAAAAATAGCAATGTTTTCTACAATGTGCATGCTTTAATAGATTTCTTTAATAATTACAAACATGAGTGCTTTTATATAAAAATCACATTGAAAGAGAATAGTTGACTTGATGTTCAGTCTACTCATAAAATAGAGGATGGAGTCGGGATTTCCTATTGATTATTTAAAATGTTGTGTAAGTAGCTGTATTGTCTCAGAAGTAACTCATCACATCTATTTTTAACTATTCTATTGAAATATAATTCATGTACCATATTATGACTTTAAAGTGTACAATTCAATGTTTTTTAGTATATTCCCAGTTCTGAAACCATCACCAAAATAAATTTTAGAACATTTTTATCACCCCCAAAAGAGGCTCAGTATCCATAAATAGTCACTTCTCTTTTCCTCCGAATACCTTCAGCCCTACGCAACTACTAAACCACTGTCTGTCTCTATAGATTTGCCTATTTGGGACATTTTATGTAATACGTGGTCTTTTATTACTGGCTTCTTTCACTAGGAATAATGTTTTCAAGTTAATCAGTATTATAGAATGTAGGAATATATCATTCCTTTTTATTGTCAAACCAGAGGCCTGGTGCACAAAATTCGTGCATGGGTGGGGTCCCTAGGCCTGACTGGCAATCAGGGCTGGCTGGGGCCTTCCTGCTGGCTAATGGTTGGGGCCTGCAGGACAGGGGGTGGGACTGCGGGAGGTTGGCTGTGGGAGCACACTGACCACCAGGGGTCAGCTCCTGCATTGAGCGTCTGACCCCTGGTGGTCAGTGTGTGTCATAGCAACC